GTGAGGCTGAAGGTGATGACCAGCTGCGAGGTGGGGCTGATGAAGGGCGGCGGCGTGACCGAGCGCTTCCCCTGCTCGAAGATGCGGTAGATGCGGTTGGTCTTGGTGAAGAGCGCGGAGTAGCTGAGGGTAGTGCCCAGGCCGAGGAAGAGCCTCCGGGCAGCGCAGGTGGCCGCCCCCGGCTCGGCCACCATGAGGAAGGTGATGGCGTAGACGAGGAAGATGCCCGTGAGCAGCACGTAGCTGAGCTCGCGGCCCGAGGCGCGGACGATGGGGGTGTTGTTGTGCCGCACGAAGGTGGCCACCACGGTGGTGGTGGCCGCGATGCCCAGCGCCGCCAGGAGCAGCGGCGGGGCGGCCCAGGGCGAGGCCCAGGTGAGGCGCACCACGGGCGTGGGCCGGCAGCCCGTGCGGTTGCGCGTGGGCCGCAGGTGCCCGGGGCAGGCCTCGCAGGTGAACTCATCGGCCTGGAAGCGGTACCCGTCGCAGGCCTCGCAGTGCCAGCAGCAGGGCACGCCCTTCACCATCTTCTTGCGCTCTCCAGGCCTGCAGGGGACGCTGCACTGAGACTGCGGCACTTCCCGGGGGTCGCCTGCCCACTGCAGGGCGTCCACCTGCGACACAGGACGCGGGGCCTTTGACCTCCGCAGCCGGGGCTGGTCGCCGCCTCCCACGCCCCAGCTCCCGCGCCACTCACGTCCAGCCGCAGCGCCTCGGCCCACTGGCCCACCGTCTGGTACCCGCCGCCGCCCGAGCTGCCGTTGGACGCCTGGTACTGAAAGATGTCGTATCTCCCGGGCGCGTCCCCGTTCTCGTTGAACATCACCGGGGTCCCCGCGCTGCCTGGAGGGAGAGCCTGGCGTCCTCAGCTGGTTCCCCAGCCCATCCATGCCAGCCCCCTGGAGAGGCCACGGGCCGGCCAGGGTAGAGGGGGAGCTCGACAAGCACTGCAAAGGTGCTCAGCAGCATCAGGGAGATGCCAATCGAAACCACGGCGAGATACCACCTCCTGTCCAAGAGGACAGCCACTGTCCAAGTAGCAGAAAATACCAAGGATGGGCCAGGACGCAGAGAAATTGCCGGTAGGCGTGTAAAACAGCAGTCATGGTGGAAAACAGTAGGATGGGCCTCAAAACGCTAAACATAAAATTACCACATGACCCAGCAATTCCACTTCTGGGTATAAACCCAAAGGAACTGAACGCAGGAACTCGAAGAGATACATGTACACTCATGTTCATAACATTCACATCAGCCCAAAGGTGGAAGTAACCTAAGTGCTCATGGGGGGTTGCATGGATAAACAAAATTTATGTGGTCTATCTATAAATTTTAGTCAGCCTTAAAAAAAGGAAGGAAATTCAGACACATGTAGAGCATGGATGAACCTTGAGGATACTGTGCTAAGTGAAATAAGCCAGTCACAAAAAGACAAACACTTTATGATTCCACCCATAGGAGGCATTTAGAGCAGTCAAATTAATAGAGATAGAAAGTAGAATGGTGTTTGCCAGGGCCTTGGG